TGCAGAGCTCAAACTCATGAACCACAAGATCATGACCTGAGCCAAAGTCAGTCAGCTGAGCCACCATGGTTCCCCTCCAGTCATTTTTCTATTCTAATTAGATGTTAGGTACATAAAATTTCATGAGGTTTTCTTTTTAACATGACTTTAGGTTTTGGTTTACTCCTCAGTAGTGTAATAGGGAAAATAAAGAAAATAATTTTCCCATTCTCCTGTGTTGATATTTGAGATGAACTCCTATTAGAATTTCTGTTTTTGTTTCTTTATATGGAATCAGAAACTGTCAGAGCAGGATTCTTCTTACGATACTCTACTGCTTGGAGCTCAGTTTTTTACCCACCATGAAGTCCTATCTTATAAATTCCATTCCTAGAATTTATAAACAAATCTAATTTCTCTACTCTTCTGATAGTTTTGTGAATCACTCTGGTTAGACACTGTTAAGTTCCTTCTTCTACATCCATATTTCTCTGGGAAAATGGACAAAATCTTGCTAATCCCTAGAATTTTTATATACTTCAACCCCTATAACTTAATTGTTCAGCCTGGGTTAAAAATTCCCTAGGGGTTTATAAAAATTTACTAGTGACTATGGTTAGGTAGAAGATACACAGCCCACCCTTCCTGAAACCATGTTTACTGGAATATTTTGTTTTATGGCGAATTTTTTTCATGCTCTTAGGTGGGTCACAGGCTGTTGACTAAGGAGGAGAATCACATTTTTGCCTATAGGTGACCGTGCTCCTGAACTGCCAAATGAAATCGTAGTGTATAATTCTCATTTTTGCAGTGAATGATTGGGAAACTTGAGATTTGTTGTAACTGGGGTTGCTGCGGTTAACAATAGTTCACCAGAGTAAACAAGAGAACTGCTATGAACACAATAGTGACATAGGATCTAGTGAAAAGCCTTCTAGTTCATGAAGAGGCTAAAGCATGTCATTTATCAAGGAGTCCTGCTCAACTAAATATAGTTTTTGAAAATATAGTATTGGTACTTCATCAGTCAGTATTGGGTGTATGTGTGTTAATCTCTTATTAGACAAATTCTTCTTGCTGCAGTTGATTTAATTAATATATTTTGTTTCCTAATGATTCCTGCGAATATGAAAATAGTCAAAACTGGTTCTTGTAATTTTTCCTTCAGTAGCCTTTTAAATATCAGATTTTATTTTAAGCGAATATGGATTGGTGGTTCAAGTATCCGTTCAATCAGCAAATACAATGAGGTTTCGGATACAAATATAAAAAAACAAGATACTAAAGGGAAATGTACAACATGAAATCGTCAAGTTATAAATGTGCCATTGTCTTTGGGATTCTCTTAAATAAACTGGACAATGCAGAAGATACAGAAGAATCTTAACCACAGCCAGTGAATCACTTATAAGAAGCTATAGTTAATCTTAAAAGCATAAGACATCCTTTGACACTTATTTCAATTAAAGTTTTTTTTAAAGATGGAAATAATCCTTATCCTTGAGAGATAATCCTTAAAGAGAAAATACTGAGCAGCCACCAGCTGCATGAAGCTGTTATTTCTGCAAGAATATTACAAACAAATAATGTAAGTTTTGCGATTGAATTTGAAATTTTGAATTGTTCTTTGCAATTGAGAAGAGCATTCTTGGCAGATACAATTCAATAAAAAGTGTGATCAACTGGGCAAATAAAAAATTGAAGATTCCTTCATAGCTATTTTCAGAATAGCCTTGGAAAGTAAAGATCCAGAGCAGGAGAAAAGTGGATGAAACCCTACATGATAGACGTAGCCGAATTACCATCTTCTTGATCCAAGGACAGTATGAAACAATGCATTTTACTATTTTTAAAAGGCATCCCTAAACAACTGTTGAGAGAGTGAAGGTAACCTTTCCCCTTAGAGTTAGTCTGTTTCACAACTTGGTCATTTTGCCTTCAATGTATTTAAAATGGTTTCTGTGAAGATATCACTTTGTTAAGTGATAGAATAATAAAAGGAGAAATGTAACAAGATGTGAATTTTTAGTGAGCATTAATATTTGGAATCCTCTATAACAAAACTCCACAGTAGCCCATGGTGGCCTCTACATCATTTACTGAGCACATGTCACATCAGATTGTTTCTCAGTGTTCACTGAGGTGGTAAAAAAACAGGAGGGAGATTTAGCTTAAGACCTTTGGTTAGAATATGTAGTTTTAGACAATTTAATAATGAAACCATTCACTTTGAAAGCATGCTCTACTATAGTATATATGTTGGCTCAGACAGAAAGGATGTTAGTATCTTAAAATTCAGAATAAATTATTTTTCTTTATGAAGGAAAAATGCATTGTGATGAGAAATTAGGATTGTGTGAATGAATTCATGTTTTCTTTACTGGTAAAAGAAACACGTAAAGTTGGCTTATTTGGTTATTTGTTTTTTAAGTAGGCTCCACGCCCAATGTGGGGATTAAACCCACGACCCTGAGATCAGGAGTCACATGCTGTACCAACTAAGCCAGCCAGGGACCCCAAAAGTTGGCTTATTTGTTAATTTTCCCAAGGCCAAACTTGATTAGAGAACAAATAGAAGGCAGGTGAATTTTTCCTTTTTTTCTTTTAGTGGCATATATGTAAGATCTGAGTGTTAAAAATGTTTGAGAATTGAATGAAGATATTTGATGTATCTCTAATAAAAAATTATGGCAGTAGAATAAGGTGATCAGTCATTATTTTTCTTTGACAGTCATTTCTCAGTGACAGTGAGATGAATCAGAGATTTCTTTCAGTTAAAGGACATAAGCATTTCAACTTCCCAAGAGGATAGACTTAGTATAATTTCCACCATTAGTAGACTAAACCTTTTGCTGTATGGTCTCTGTTGGGCATCTGACTTCACAGAATTAGTGTGATACTAGAACAGAGAGTATTTAAAATTATGAACTTGATTAACAGTTAAGTTAGCAGAGTTTTCTCTAAAAGGATATACTCCAGGCAAAAAAGCATGTTGCTTAACAGCAAAACATGTAGGGCTATTTTTCCTCTTTGCTTTAACAGTAATATTTTCGACAAATAAATTGGGAAGAATGTAAAATTTATATGGATCTTAAGAAAACAGAAGACTTCAAATAAATGTCATGGGTCACTTCTGAGCATCTGCTGTCCCCTCAAGATCTTTGGGCTGTTGATTCACAGCTTCAGTCCATCTCCTCTAGAGGTCAAGATTCTTTGGGGCACCTGGCTGGCTCACTCAGTTGAGTGTCCGACTCTTGATTGTTGCTCAGGTATGATCTCGCAGTTTATGAGATGGAGACCTGAGAGATTCTCTCCCCCCGTCTCTCAAAGTAAATAAAAATAAAACTTAAAGATTCTTTGGTAAGTAATTTTTAGAAACATTACCCCTATATAAGAAACTTTTCAAGTTCTCATTTAGATACATTTTCTACTTACTGAACTTCTATCTTTTGTTTTGCAATTTCTGTGAGATAAGTTGCATTTTTAAAAACATGTTGAAATAGTTACTTAAAAGCCTTTGGTGCATCATTTTGTTTTCTTTACAGATGATCACTCTTTTTCTCTGAGTTGCCGATGTGGTGGAAAATACAGGGTTTCCAAGGATGAAGCAGAAGAAGTTACCCTGATTTCTTGTGATACATGTTCACTAATTATAGAACTCCTTCATTATGCCTGAAATTGTTCACTAAGTGAGATCCTTTAACTGTGTATTCATACATGTTGAAGAGCGCCCATTCAAGTAAATGTATAAAGCTGATAGAAGCAGGATTTTTTTTTTGTCAGCTCTTTTATTTGCAGAGAAAATATAAAACTGTCAAGCAAGGGCCACCCTATGTTAATAGAAAATGAACTCATCAGTTATTTATATGTGTTTATAATTTATGTTAGTAGATCACCAAAAAAAAAAAAAGGACTTGAATTATAAATTATATTTTGTGAATTCCCATCTGGGAACTTTATTATTTGGTCCATTTTCTCCTTGGTACAAAATAAGAAATTTCCTTTTCTTCAAATAAGCATGTCTTCTCTTATTCTGGGTCACAGTACCATCATGTTCCTTTATAGTTACTCAGTTTCTAAAGTAGCATGACATTTATTTTTGCTCAAGTTATAGGCCTGTTGTACAAGTAAAAATCTCAAATTCTCAGGTCATCATAATTAGAATCTTTGTGAATAACATGTGAACCTAGTTGTCCCATAATGAAGACTGGATATGGATATTCATGACATTGCCACAGAGTTAAAGAAGGTAAAATGGCAACTGTGGAAAAGACAGCTTTGGAATCAAAAGACTTGACTCCAGTCCTGGCACTGTATTTCCAGATTCGGATTCGTCGTGTGGCTACATTAAAGGGAGTAAGGTTTGAACACTGCCATCTTCAATTTTAAATGTCTTAGGAAGTAGTAACTTTTTAAAAAATAATAATTTGAAATAGGTGTATTACTTCCCTTTTTATTTCAAAGTCTAAGAGTACTAATTTGTATATTTATGAATAAGGAACCACTACATTGCTGTATGATAAAATGGACTTTTATAATGTTATTATAGACTATAATAGACTCCAAAGATTTTATTTTTCTCTATATTTGATATTCTATGTACAGTATAAGTCAGGACTCACTTAAAAGAAATTGAGGAATCCTTTATGGGATCACTGAAACTTCATTACTTAATTTCCAATGAGTGAACCAAGCATGTGACTTTGCAGCTTTTAATTAGGTTGAACTCATGTTATTTATTGTTGGTTTGGATTTAAAAGACTAATTACTATCCTGACATGTAAATGTAGCTAAAATATGAGGCATATTCAAGAGAAGATTACTTTCATTATAGCTATAAAACCAAGAGTTCAAGAGTGAGATTGTCACCCAGGTTTTGTTCCCTAAAAATATTTTTATATTTATCATAAAATTTGGAGGACTTATTTTGGATTACATTTGTATCCATATATTTTAAACTAATATAGCGTGCAGTGTGTGTCACTTTTCCTTTATATTTAACAATCAAAAATGACTAAAACTAAATAGCAAATAGTTTATTAGTAAGTACATGGTTTCAGTGGCAGTAATAAATTCACTTGAATAGGAGAGAGAAATCAAAAGAACAAATGCTTGCTAATCGTCAGAAAATCTGTGGCCATTAGGACTGTCACGTAGAAATCCAAAATCACTCAGAGGCCAAATCTGTGAAATCAAAATGTGATTGAAGACAATTAATAAAAGTGATGTTATATCATCACCATACTCCCTTTTTTATTCATCTGTTTTCTCTGTGCCATATATGAAACACTTTTCTCCTAACTCTTTAGTCAAGAACAAATTATATCAAACTAAGACTTTAGAAAGTAAACTTGTATGTGTACATGTATTTAAACTCTAAGTTTGGAACACTGATTCATTATATCAGTTACATGTGTATAGTACGTGAATATAGAGGTATGAATATGTGTGTCTGTTTTTTTTTTACCACCCTCAAATAAAGTGAACCCTGAACCTAAGTATTTGAATATAAATAACATCTGCGTAAGTGCAAAGAACCCTGCAAATTATCCAACAACCAAAGTATTCATGTCTTTTTCTTCTTACCATTTGTGGCAAAAAGGAGAAGACAGTGAAAATAATAATCTCTCCTAAGAGTCATACATTTAGAATCATGGTAAGACTATTACCCGATGTACTTACATGAGATATCCCTGTTTAACAGGTAGTTTGGTTGACTCAACACTGCTCTTCTGCAAATGCATACTAATTTATGCCCAAGGTAAGAACATAGTTGTAAAATTTATATGAGAAGGAATTATATTTTGGAGATTTAAGTTAAAGGCTTCTTATAGCTAAGGTAGTTTAAAGTTTTATTATTCAAACAACAAATTATTCTTAATTACCTAGCTCATTTGGGAAAGGGTAATGTTTACAGATTTGAATGCCAGCAGGTACCTAAATGTAGTCACTGCTACGGTTGAGCCCACTGACAGCCTGAATATTTCAAGTTCATTTTGAAAGAAATATTTTTTCCAGCTCAGAGAAGAAATCCTACATTTTAAAGAGAAAATAATACCTTGAGAAAGATACGTCCTCTTATTAGCCCATATGGAATAGGTCCATAATACCTGGAATCTGTAGAATTCTGTAGATTATCACCTTCTAACCACACATGACCTGTTGGCACCTAGAATTAGAGAAGAAAGCAACCTCTTTAAAAGAGAAAACAGATTTCGGTACTATAAAAAGCATGTCTTTAGGTGGTACGGAGAAATGTCTTACAGTTCTCACTTAGAAAATACATACAAGCCTTGTGATTTGTATTTGTGCTTTATCTTTTGCACAATAAAATATCTTCTATTGAATATTAGTAATATTCTAGGTTTAAATTCAACATTTTAAAAGATCTTTTTTTGCCACATGGTTCCCAAACATTAATTTGTTACACAAACCCCAAACTGAGGTTATAAGAGATCAAAACAGTGTGACAGGGTCATTAATTTAATAGACTTCAAAAGAGGTCATTAGGATGCTGACTGAAAATGTGCCCTCCTGTTTCTATAACAGCATAAGCAGGGCAGCCACTCACTCAGCAACATCCTGGGGCCAGTACCAAGGCCAGACCTATTAGAATGCTCGTGATAAACTAAATGGTAATTGATTGTGACATCAATTACAAATAATCTCATCATTTTATTGGAGTGGGCTTGTCAGAATTCTAATTAAGATCCCTGTTCTGCCTTTGTACAGACCATATCTTCAATGCATTATACTTTAATAATGACCATCAAGAGCTAGAAGGACCTATTATAAAATCATCAGTTGTAAATTAATGATGGTGACCTTCTAAATGAAAGACCCTATCTCCTATGTCCCATGTATTAACTGCTAAATAACGTAAGTTTAAGTTTTTACTCAATGTCACCCATAAGAATATTTAGAACACACTTCTTTAAAAAAAAATGCCCTCTGGGAAATGAAACCTATCATATTAAAAAATTGATCTGCAGCAATTATCTTTAAAATTGCATTTTACAAATTATTTTACAGTTTGTGTTACTCAAGAAAGATGAATTATTGATCAGACCAAAATGACCTATTGGAAAGAAATTTATTTTCACTTTTCTTTTGACTGGCTATTTATCACTTGGGTACCTTATGTGAAGAAAAGTACTCCTATTGGGTTTAATAAGAAATGAATGCAATATTTAAAAAATGTTACAAATTACTGTTTTTTTAAAGATTCTTTTTAGGGCAGTTTTAGGTTCACAGCACAATTGAGAGGAAGGTACAGACATCTCCCACCCATCTCCTGCCCCGACACATGCATAACCTCCCTTACTACTGACACCCCCTATCACAGTGGTGTATTAGTTACACTTGCTGAACCCACATCAACAATATAATCACTCAAAGTCCAGAGTTAACTTCGGGTTCACTCTTGGTGTTGTACATTCTATGGTTTCAGCCAAAATATGACATGTATTCATCATTACCATAGAGTCTGTTCACTGACCTAAAAATCCTGTGTGATCTGCCTATTTTTCATTTCTTCCCCCAAACACCCATATTAGCTTTGGGGAAAGAAAATGAAGGTATACAAGTATGTAAAATCTGAATTTCACTTTACATCAGGAATTATATAATTTTGGAATGTTTTATGCAGAAATATTTGCCCAAAACAAATCAAGTTAATTATTTTAAGTTTTTAATGTTTTTTATTTATTTCTGAGAGAGAGAGAGAAAGCATGAGCAGGGGAGGGTCAGAGAGGGAGGGAGACACAGAATCTGAAGCAGGCTCCAGGCTTTGAGCTGGCTGTCAGCACAGAGCCTGACACGGGGCTGGAACCCAGGAACCCTGAGATCATGACCTGAGCGGAAGTCGGACGCTTAACCGACTAAGCCACCCAGGCGCCCCTCAAGTTAATTATTTTCATTTAGATAGATTTAAATGTTAAATCTACTTGTAGAGAAAGAACAGAAGTTTCCTAAAAGAATATGAAATACTGTAAGATCACTCACTTTTGTTAGTGGAACTAGTTATAGGTTCCAGAGTCAAAAGCAAGACTGGTTCCTACTAGTGATTTGTGTGCAGTGAAGCTTAATATTGCTCAAGCAGAGAAGTGAATCCATCTCAGGTCATAAATGAAGAAAAGAACAAAATAGTATATTTGGAAAAGCCATGTGTCATTAACATAGTCTCAAAGTACTACTCTGGGAGAAGCTATAATATGGACATCTTTTGTTTAAATTTCCATAGTTTTCTCCTTAATAAGTGTTTGTTTCTGGGATCTAAAAAATAGGTAGTAAACCAGGATCCAATATATATTCCAGTTCTCATGAAACTTTCCCCAACCTTGTGTGCCCATAGCAAATACTCTTGTTTAGAGCACTGCCATAAAGTCTACCTTTCTTGGGGCCCTGGATTAAAACATCTTATTAAACTGCTTGGCTTTTGAGTAAGTCTACTTACTTTCTTATGACCAAATAAGCAAATAGAATAACAGTATTCATGCCATGGTCTTTATTTTTTGCAATGCCTAAGTCAAAACTAGAATTCCAATATTTGGTGGTAATATTAGTAAATAGAAATTCTTGTAAAGCCCAATCACCTTTGTATGACCTTTGTTTCTTACAAGTTAGCTAAAGTGATGAAGTGTTATCTTTGGTATAACTAACAAACACAGAAAGAAATATGCTAACAGAAACCCAGAACATATTACCAGAAGCCTCTGGAAGACTATGACCCAGGCTACCTTTACCTAGTGCTTATTTGCAAAGGGTGGAACAAAAGGGAGAGAATAGTAATGCAAGCCAGTATGTATACACGGCTTTCTGGTTTATTTAATAAAAAAAAACACACACACACTAACAAACCTCATCTGCTCCTTAAAACAACCTGTGAAGTACTGTTACTGATATTAATAAAATTAGGTTTAAATATGGGACTTGCTAACTCCCATTTATCTGAAGCTTATACATTCTGATCCCCATGTGTCCACTTACAGTAAAGGAATATTCTCTACATCTCACAAATGTCAATGCTTGATATAAAGTACACAGATCAGGAAAAACAACCTTATCACCACTGATGAGCTCTTCAATAAGAGCTTCTCTATAAAAAGGAAAACCTTTACGTGTGGATCTTTTAAAATCAAAGCAATCACCTTTGTTGACTTAACTGTCAATTACTTCGTCTCCAGTTAAAAAAATTAATGATGTTGAAATTATTCCACTTATCTTTGGTATAGAGTAAGGATGAATACTTTAAAAATCAGTTTTATAGATGTATACTTATTATATACAGTAAAAAACACTCATTTCAAGTCTGACACTAGTTTTGGAAAGTGTGCACATCTACATAACTGTTAATCACAATTAAGATGTAAAACATTTCAATCGTGCCAAAAAGCTCCCATCCCAGTACCAGGCAACTAATGAGATCTGTGACTAGAAACTAGTTTTACCTGGTCATTAATTTCATACAAACAAGTCTGTACTGTACATACTACTTTGTGTCTGGCTTTTGTTCTGCAATTTTTTTTTTTAATGATTAATCCATGCTGTATGTATCAGTCATTCATTCCTTTTTACCTCTAAGTGGTATTTTATTGTAAATCACAATGCTTACCCATAAATCTATTGATGGACATTTTTCTTTGATGTTTGAAGCTTCAAATACATAAAGCTACACTATTAACATTAATGTGTAAATCCAATTCTTTTCAGTAAATACCAAGGGGTAGAATTTCTGGGCCATAAATGGATGCTTAACCTTAAATTTTCCAAAGTAATTAAATGATTTTACACTCCCAACAGGAATGTATGAGTATTCTGGTTGCTCCACAACCTTGGTATTTTCCTTTTAAAAATCTTTTGCCATTCTAGGGGCACCTGAGGATACTCAGGGTTAAGTGTCCAACTGTTCATTTCAGCTCAGGTCATTATCTCACGGTTTGTGGGATTGAGCCCCTCATCAGGCTCTGTGCTGTCAACATGGAGTTGGCTTGGGATTCTCTCTCCTTCTCTCTCTGCCCCTCCCCAACTGATGCACATATGTGTGCATTCTCTTTCTCTCAAAAATAAACAAACTTATAAAAAAATCTTTTCCATTCTAGTAATTTACTGGTATCACATTGTTTTCATTTGAATTTCTGAGCATTTTTTCTTGTGCTTATTAGCATATCTTCTATGAGGGTCTATTAAAATATTTTGCTCATTTTAAAACATGGGTTGTTTTCTTACTCATTTTATGAATCCCTTTTTTACCTTACAATGTAAGTCCTTTGACATGTATTGCAAATATTTTCTCAGTTTGGGATCTTTTTACCTTTGCAGTCTAATCTATTATAAAGACTATACAGTGTTTTCTAAGCTCTAGAAATTTCATTTGGTTCTTTTTTACATTTACAATTTCTTTCCTCATTAGGTTCATCCTCAAGATCCTTGAAAATATTTAGAATTGGTGTTTTAAAGCACAGGTCTGTTAATTCCGTTACTTTTCTGGATCTATTTAATTGATTTTTCTTCTGGTTATTGGTTACACTTTCATACTTCTTCACATATCTAGTAGTTTGTGACTAAGCTGGATATTCATTTGTTGAGTGGATTTTGTTGTCTTTCTTTAGAAGGTGTTGAATGTTGAGGTCTGCTTGTTTTGGGGAAGGTGGTTAAGTTAGCTGTGGGTGAGCTTATTCCTTTCAAGCCTTGTTTTTAAGCTCGTTAGGTTGGTTCTGTCTCACACTGTGTTTTAAGGACTACTTTAGGCCTACTACTAAGTAATGATATTCAGAATTGAATTGAACATATTCAGTAGAGAATTTTGATATATATTCATAATCTCTATTGAATATGCCAGATATTCAGTGAGATCTATCTGCTCTGGCTGGTCAGAACTCCAGTGGCTCTCAGCCCCATGTGAGCTCTGTGAATTGCTCAGCTCCCCACTCATTCTTTGCTCAGTTTCTAGGTCTTACCATAAATAGGTACAATTTAATATTCAACTCAAAAGCCAACAGAACACCTATGGAGATCTATGCTGATCATTTGCTAGCTCTGTTTTCCCAGACAGTTTGATGCATAAGTTCCAACTACTTAAACTTCCCTCTAGTCCAGTCTCTGTCTCTTCAGCTTAGCAAAACCACTATCTTTGTCTTAAATTTTACTTCAATACCTTCTGAAAGACGT